ATTCGTTGCAGTCAGTAATGGAAAATATAGCAGATCAAAGATAATTTTGTTAATTACTTATTACATCTTTTAACAGGGAAGATTATATGATGTTCTATGAACCTCGAGATTTAAAAGCCTTTTCAGTGGAGCCCCTGCTGATTTATCCGACGCACTACACTGGGGAGCCAGGCTATCTGAGCGATACCGAAACCTCTATAATCTGGGACAATGATGAAATACAAACGGACTGGAACCGCAACTTATCCAGAAAAACTAGGGAGCAGGGAGAGATTGGGGCCGAAGCCCAGAATACAGAGGCACTGCAACCCCAAACACCCATTGACACAACTTCTCGAGATGAATTATGATGTGGTTCTGCACTATTCGGCTCTGATCTGTGATCAGAACCAATGCTTCTCTGTCAAACCGATGTGGTTTGGGGAAAATAAATGTCTGCTGGAAGGCAACTATAAAAATCTCTTGGGATAATGTGACATAGAATCAAGTGAAAGCTATAGTATCTCTTCATTGGGCTTCCTGCATCCTTTCAAAAGGTGGCAGCTGATTTTGGTGATCAGGTATCAGTTACTACTGGATTATTTGAAATTGTGAAAATGCTTCCTTTATTTCCATTTCCATATCTCTTATGTTGGCTTTCACGTGTTATATATATTCCCCCACTACTTTATTAAAGAGCCAATGGGTGTGGGATCTCATTAATGCTGTCCAGAGGACAGCCCTGCTTCTGCCACTGTGCAACTTCATGCTCATAGCTGCCTCTCAAAAGATCTGAATCTATGGTCACATACCAGTGTAGGAACTGAGCAGGGCTCATAATGGAATGACTAACTCTTCAACTGCTGCAAACTCAATGAGAGCTAGATTTTCAAACTGCTGTTATCACAAGGATGTTTTTGGTGCCACATTCAATATTCAGAATAACACTAATATTTCTGCTAGTCCAGAATTTCTCTAAGTGGTACTACTTTTACCAATTTTGTTCTTTAAATAATAGTGTGTTGTGTGTATGTGCATGTGGTTTGTTTCTATTTATTTCTGTTCTTCACTGGCTTGCAATTCTTGCTGTATAGGATCAAAGACAAAGTGATGCCATTTTTCTCTCTCTACAAGGACATTGTTACTGGTTTTCCTCTGAGACCAGTGCAAAACTCTACAAGTTCATTGTAAGCCCGACACTTTACTGTCAAGTTTCACCCCTGCAAGCTGGCACAACATGGAAATTTGAAAATGATGAAAAAAATTTTTTTTAAGACTTTAGTCTTGTCCTCATCAGGACACTCTCAAGAATACCAATGTAACGGGAGAAAACATTCATACTGTAGGTGCAATGAGTGCTGATTGGTAAAAGGATGGAGAATTAACCAGTTGATGATTGGCAATTAACTGCCAAATTTTGTTGTGGCTTGTCTTGATTCAACAAAACAGATAATTGCCATTCTGTGATTCATTTGGCAGGGCAATGCCTTGTCTAATCAGTCAACCTTCAAATTTAAAATTTAACAAGGTTTAGCAGTCAACTGTCCATCATCATCTAACTAGTCCATTTTCCATTGGTAACATCCCTATCAATCATAGTGCACTTTTCAACCCATCAGAACTATTTTTTTTTTGTGCATTATAAAATGTTGTTTCCCTTTATGTCGATATTCTTGCAAGTATCCTGATGAATGCAAGGCAAAAAACTTCAAAAAACATGTCCTATTTTACAGCAGTACCCAAGTTCTGTGTTTCCAAACAACTGTTTGAAAATGGAGATAGGAGGAAGTGCAGATGCTGGAAAATCTGAGATAACAAGGTGTAGAGCTGGATGAACACAGCAGGCCAAGCAGCAGCATCGGAGCAGGAAGGCTGACGTTTCGCGTTCTGCTGAAGGGCCTCGGCCCGAAACGTCAGCCTTCCTGCTCTTATGATGCTGCTTGGCCTGTTATGTTTGAATGTGGGAACTCTTTGGTAACGGAGTATCCAACATATAGCTGATAGGATTAAAATGGAATCTAATTTTGGAACTTGAAATGGTTTAAGCCCCTGACAAGCCCATTCTGTTCATGCAGATCCTCTGTAAATATTGTATCAGTCTGGCTGTTGGAAGATAACTTTGGAAAGTTGATCGCTTCTGTTAACTGCAATTTAATAAATTGCTTAAACTGTGGAGAATGCATTCTATTCCATTCACAAAACTATGATATTTTGTGAAATCAGGAGATGTGCACAGTGCAAATAGAAATCCCATTTGATGCTGCCTGGACAAGACTGGGAAACTTAAATTTGTGCTTATAGAGAAATGACAGATCTCAACTGGCTCACTGTCATCTAATGTTTTGAATTCAAACTTGCGTCTCCCTTCAAATTTTTTACTACCTTGATCCACGCTCTCTTTTCTACCCTCTTTCTATGCACTTTGTTCTTTGGTTCTCTGATTGCTGTTTGTCTTCCTTTCGTCCACGTTTATGTTAGATTTCCCGTTAATTGGCTGTACTCTCTTGGTAAACTTCCTCAGATGCCTCATAATGAGTGACACTCATTCTGTCTCTTTGAAAGCCTGCTTAAAAGCTCTGTTTCACACTTTCTGGTGATAATTCCTAACTCTTCTGGTACATGACAGCAATTTTCTCCTCTTTGACATTTGATACATCCTTCTCCTGTTAATGCGCCTCATAAATGTGAGTATTTAATGTTCACTTTGGAAGATTTAATTGATTCTAATTGGAATGTATCTGCCAAACCTCGAGCAAAACTGAAGCAGGAAATAGCTTCAAACTGTGTGCACGTCTGACACAAAACATTGCAGCTGTTTGTAGAAATTTATTTCTAATGGATGAAAGTGGTAGTTTCTATACTTCTGCCATTTTTGTTGAACTCAGTCTCAGTCACAGTTCTGAATTTCAGCCAGGTCAAGACTGTTTTTGTTGAACTTTATCGATTTTGAACAGTTTGCCTCCCCATGTTCTTGAATTTTGGAACCAAATTTACACGAATGGGGTTGGGTTCTATCAGCCCTGTAGGGAGAGGCTGCAAGGTGGTTAGGTGAGTAGTGGGGTGTAAGATGACAAGGGAAGGAAGGTGTTGCTGTGCCTCTCATACTTACACCTCCATAGTTTTTTATTGATCTCAAAATAGGGAAAGGGTGGCCACTCAGGTGGCCAATGTCGAGTCTGTTCCCACCAACACTGGCATTTTGTCAGCAGTAGGTGAGCCCTCCATTTTGTGGGAGCCAACATCCTGAATCCTAGAGGCATGCCTGAAGACTCAGGATGTCCATCCTAAACAAGTATTGTATGGCTCACAACAGGGTGTCCCATCTGCGTACTGGAATAATCTTCTGTCCACAGTGACAATCATTACTGGAACTGGAAATCAAAGGAAGTGTTGCCAGGGCCAGGTTGGCAGGTCCTACTGAGGCCACTAATGAGTCACTTCAGGTCCCCCAATTGGCGCATGGACAGTGGGTTACTCCAGTTACCTCACAGGCTATTTTGTGAACACTGCCAATTATTTGACCATTCTGTAAACCTATTAATGACCTCCTGTAACTTCTTGCAGTCCTCCTCAGAGTTGACTATTTAACCACATTCCCCTTTCAATTTAATGTCATTGAATTGCTAAATATCTTTCATTTGTAATAATGAGAGACAGTATTTGATTTGCAGTTTTACTTTATTTTGTTTTGAATTTTTGGGTTGAGTACTTGGAGAGGTGCAGTAATCCACATGGTAACTATAAGAACTTAGCGTAGAATGACAGATTGATGAAAATTATTAGAGACACAGAGGACTAATTAATAGGCTCTATTAATTGCAAGGTCAAAACAGGTAGTTAATGTTTACATGAACCACATGGTGAGATTGTTCTTAGAGCAGTTATTCTTTTCCATTTCTTTTTCCTTGCAGTTTATTTACCCACTTCTTTCTGTGCCACTGGTGTCAAATTGAAAATGCACCTATCCTCAATTTAAAACCAACTGATATTTTAAAGAAAGACTGCATTTGTATAAAATGCAGCATGATTTATGAATGCCTCCCTCTAGGATTATGCATCTTCATAGCCACATGCTGTACATAATGTGGAAATAACATTGCTTTCTCTGTGTATATATCATTTATAAATTTAATAATTTATTCACCGTGCCAGCAATGATTTCATAGTTCAATACTTGAATAAATTGCTATTAAGTACAGAAGTGTAGCCCATGGCAGGTCTCCAGTTAGATGGCTTAACAAGGGACAACAAACAACTAGCACAAACGTCTTCTTTTTTAGGTAATAAACAATTTAAATAGTAATGCAAAATATCATGAAAAAGTCACAATTTGAGAAAGTTACACACTTGCATCATTTCAATAGAACATTGAAAACAGCGACTTTAGCCTACCTGAGTTAAATCATTCCTGATCTGTGACTCCATTTAGCTGTCTGCAATCCACACCCTGTGATATCTTTCTAGACCCAAAATCGATCATCTTTAAGCTTTGAAAGTTTTGCTTGTCCCAACAGCTGATGTTTTTTTGGGGAGAGGATTCCGATTTCCCTTACTGTGTATGGAAGATGTTCTTCCTGACTTCACCCCTGCCTTTCTTTGCATTTAAGATTGTGTCCCACTGTTCTAGATGTTGCCACCCCAGGAGGTAGATGAAATATATATATCAGATCTTTGTCTCTGACCATTTATATCTGAGCAATAATGACAGCAACATCTGACTTATCCGGCATTCTACCAACTGGATTTCTCCAGCACCCAGAATTTTTGACTTTTTCTTTTAAATGCTACCAGTTTATCCATACACAAATAGTAATTCTAGCCCTAACCCTAAGCAAAACACTAGCATCAATCCTGCTCAGATCCTTGTTTCTTAGTTTTCCCATCATGGAAAAGTCCCATTACTCCCATCTGTGCCCAGTCTGTACCAGATAATATACATTTCCTGTCCTGTTTGCACTGCCAAATGACATATCATTTTGAAAGTGTAGCACATACTTTCTCCTCTAAAACATAATTCTACAGGAGAGAACTTTATTCCATTTGTGGCAGTTTAAAAATGCCAACATTTGATTATAATGCTACTTTGCACCATGAAATCAAAATCAATGATTCCTCCATCACTGACTTGTTAATGCACTTAGAAGGAGAAATTAAATTTTGTTTTAAAACCTCGAGCTGGATTTTTGAAGATTTGAGGGATTGGGATTGGTACATTCAGGAATTAAAAATTGTGGTCCTGGACCCTGATATCTCCAGGATGGTTTTGAGTTTTCAAAGGGTCAATGGAGGGATCTGTTGCCACTTCATTGTGAAACTCAGCAATGATATGCTCTGGGCACCAAGGCTGACCTCCTGCCCTATTAAACCATTTTCATTTAAATGATGCAGGTCTGGTGCAGGGATGAGATGTGAAGTGCATCCGGCTGCTGGAGTACATACAAACACAGCCCTGAACATCTCAATCAGTTACGTAGCCTCTCAAATCCTTTCAGATTCCTCCAAAGAATTCTGTGATCATTACTTTGTCAATTGGGGATGTACACACTGCAGTGATACAATGATAGCAGGCAAATCTCTGTTTCTGATACAAGAAACCATCTTCATCAGGTCATTGCCATTGTCTGGTGTTTGCAAGATGGGAGTTGGTCATTGTGGTCACCAGGTCCCTTATTGCAGATGATCTGTTATCCCAAAAGGTAATTGTGTTAACTGTGGGAAAAAGTCTTTCGGTTTATATTTTCATTTTGTTCTGGATAATAGTCCAATCCATTCAGAAGGGGTCATTGTTCTGCTGTGCCCCTTTAGATTTGATGGGGAAGCTGGGATGGTTACATTCTATGAATGTTCTAACTGAAGGCAGGTTCTTGGTTTATTGTCTGCTGACACTATATTGTGCGTACTTTCCTTGGCAACGTTTGGTATTGGTTTCCCATTATCTCCCACCCTCAGGTAGAGCAAGGAGCTAAGCCTGCTCCAGCTGGAGACAGGAATTAGACCTGCTGTGTGAGCACTATTCTGAACCATGTACTAGCTGACTGAGCCATCCAGTCTCTCACCATATTTATATTAGTCTACCTAAAATATTAACTTACATTTGTAAAGTACCATTGACATGATATGCAACAAAATTTGACACTACACCACATAAAAAATGTTCCATAAAATAGAGCTCGTGGTAAGTTTAGCTCTGTAACTTACCAGATGCATCAAAGGATGCTGAAAGCACTGTCAGCTGTTTTACATCTCTCCAGTTTCTGTTTTAGGTAAAAATTAGGTGGGATGTAGGATAAACTGCCACCACACCATTTTACTCTCTCACACATATCCCCACACAGACTGCGAGGGATTTTTTAAGTGACAGTGAGGAGGGGGTGGACTTTTAATGGTGCCTGTATCAGTCACTTGTGTTTGGTGCTTTGAAAATAATAACGGTTGGGAGCTTAATAGACTTTGCAGTAGCTCTGCTAATTATAGTATTGTCTTTTCTAAAATGAAATAACTGCACAAAGAATACTTGGTAATTATGGCTTACCAGACCCTGAACAGTTTATGCTGAAATGTACTGAACTAATTTCCAGGGTTTTCGTTATGTTTCACAGAAAACTGAGTTGATCGTGCTACCCCTTAGGTGTGAAGTAAAAAGTGTTATTGTAGAATACTGTTCGAGGGGTATGAAAATACAAGGTATGAAGAGAATCATATCAAATAATTTAAAGCAGCTTGATATTGAACATTGAAACCTTTACACTTTTTTAATTGTGACTCATGAAAGTGAGAACATTCCAAAGGAGCAGGCATCAGAGTTTGTGAAATTAAACAGTTTTAGTCATTGTTTAGCATAAACGACACGATAA